ACAAGGTATACAGATGGCTAGTCAATTAGGAGTGAGCAATTTGTTAGTAGAAGGAGACTCCAAGGTAGTAGTGGGCTGGCTGAATAGCCCAGACAGTTTGTTGGGGCTACAGGGATCTGGTAAATAAAGTTAAATGGATGACAAGAAATATGACTGTTAGGTTCTAGTGGGTTAGCAGATCAGCAAATGTAATGGCTGATTCTCGGGCCAAGCAAGGGGTGATCTGTTTTGGGCTAATTTGTAATTTGTTTTTCAGGTTTGGGCATGTTTTAGTGCTTATGATTCAGTCCTTGGGGGAGGTAACATCTCGTGCCTCTTCCTAGGCTGCATGTATTTCTGATACTCTTTCAATAAAATTACTCTCATTTATCAAAAAAAAAATTAAAAGGTGTGCCTATGCTTTGTCTATCACTTCATAATATATTATTCTATGTTTTTGTATATTTCACAATGCACCCAAAGTAATTGTGACTGTGGAATGGAAGCCACCAGCACTGAACAAACTAAAACGAAATTTTGATGGGAGTTCTTTTGGAAACCCAGGAAGGGCAGGCATAGGGGGTGTGTTTAGAAATCATCTGGGTGTGGTGGTGGCACTCTTCTCAGGACCAATAGGTATTGGTGACTCAATACAGGCTGAATCTCTAGCCCTACTTCAAGGTCTAAAGATGGCTGAGCAGATAGGAACAGACTTAGAAATAGGAGACTCACTACTGGTCATTTCTTGGGCTAAAAACATCACATCAGTACCTAGGAAGCTCAAATTTATCTTCAGAGAAATTGACATACTTGCAAGGAGGATCAACTCTCAGTTTGGTTGGGTCAAACGAAATGCAAATGGGATGGCAGATACCCTAGCAAAACAAGGGGCAAATAGATCTTCATTGTACTGGGCAGAATTGTAGCTGATTGCAAGTGGTTGCAGATTAGATTAATGCTACTCTGCAACCTTTAACTATTGTAACTGATTTTCTCTGTTATTAATTCAAAATTTCTTGCTGATCAAAAAAAAAAAACATTTCCAACATGTTCCTATATTTAAATGACTGACATCAAAATTTTTAACCATGCCTCCCAGTCCAAAATGACCTGGAGCAAGAAAACCCTAACTCAAATCACTTCCAAACCGTAGAGAAAAGAGAGAGCAACCTGTCGCTTAGAAAACACTGAGCACCAGTAGAGAAGAAAGAGAAACCCTCCAATCACAAATTGACCTGTTTTTCAATACTTCATACTTGGACAACAATCTTCAATCTCTAAATGTCTGCTGGATTAGGTTTGCATGAGATCTAAGCAATGATATGAACCTGCCCTAATACCAACTTAGAATAAAAATAAAATAACTTAAAATAAAAGTCTTATCACTTTTCATTTCTTGATTTCATCCCCCAAGGAAATTTCTGTAGAAATTTAACCCTAAAAAACATCTTACCTGAATCACACATCACCAATCACCCTTAACAACATCCTCAATCCTTCCCTAGACCCATTGCCACAATGCCACCCTCATAGACCTAAACCCTAAACCTAAAAACTCAAGGAAGAATACTTTTTTCTTCTGTATTTTCTAGCACTTGATTTTAGCATTCCTCCATTAGGTGTAAATAAACCATCCAACTACATGCCACACCACTAGAAAACAACGTTGACTTGTAGAGACAGTGAAGGTTAAAGTTGTAATTTTATTTATTCTTGTTGTATATTCTTTTGTTATGTACTCTTACTACTTGTAACACAAGGACAGAATTGTCCTTTTATTTCACTTTAATAAATAAATATCTTTTCTCTAGGTGTGGTCGATCAACTGACACACCACAAATCAGTTCATTTTCCCTTATTCAAACTGCACTGACATGACTAAATGTTGCAGCTTGGTAAAAGACAAAAGATAAAAGAAAAGAAAACTATTATGTTAAATAACATAGAATTCCTCCAAAATATACCAAGTTTCACTTTTTTCTATCTTAGCAAACAACAAAACTAGTGTTATTTGAATTATAGCTTTTAAGCATCTCCACTGACCACATGTCACATAGTCCCATTGAGAAATTGAAAGACAATATAATCATTGCACAAAGATTTCACGAAAAAGGAAGGGAGAAGGGGGAAGGTGAAAACGAAACAAAGAAACCACAATTGATAATTCAAGAAGCAAAGAAAGAGAGAAGACTTGTTAGAGAGCAAAACATCTTTAAGATTTGTAACAATAATAATTTAGAGAAGATTAGTTAACAAATAAATGGTATGTGAAAATGTGGCTGACTTCAAGCTGCAGATATACATACCATGTTCAGTGAATACCTTCCTTGGATAAGGAACTGCTAAATCATAAGATCCAATCCCACCAGTATGGTTCTCATTCACAAAGTCTTTCACCAGTTGTAAAGTGTCTGTCACAGAAAATTTCTCTTGAAGGCTCCCACCATCAGGCAATTTAATGTTTAGATTAACATCTCTTGGTTTACCGACACCTGAGTTACCCAAATCACCATTGTTCCCATCTTGTACACTTCTTCCTGCTTCCTTTATAATCATAGTTGAGTTTTCTTGTGAAAATCCAGAACCATGATCATCCACAACGACATGAGGTGCAGAATATTCATCAACAGAACTGAAAGAACTAGTGTCAACTTCAACATTGCTCAGATGAGTCACAGGACAATGTAATTCTGGAGTTGTTTCATGCAGTGGAGCTGATAGTTCATCTTTACCATTTTCCAATTTATTAGCATGCATTAACTGCTCCGTACTGCCTTCATTCTCTATCTGTTTTTACAAGAAACATAGAAAGTAAATCTGATGATTGGAATGCTATATAAATACAAGGATGAAATAACTACAGCAGTGTTCACCTTCAGTTGTGGGTCACGATCTCCACTTTTGAGTGGATCTGGCAGTTTATCCTTACCCTTCTCCAACATACTAGCATGGGTTGGGTGCTCTACAGAAACTTCACCTGCCATCTGTTACTCATGTACAAGAAACATAACCAGTAAATCTGATGATTTAAACTTTGGAAATTGAAATACAACTCGTATATATACATTTTTTTGAAGAGGTAAAGTAAGATTTTATTAAGGAATAAACGAAATAACTGCAATAGGGTTCACCTCTAATTGGGGCTCATTATCCCCAGTTTTTGGCAATAAATCAGGAGCAACTAAAATCTTAGTCTCTGTATCATGGAGAGTTTGGTCTATTGATGGAAAATGATCATTGATGCTTGAAGAAGTTCCTTGGTCAGATGAAGACGCATTCAAAGAACTAAAACTCAGTGACTCAGCTTTCTTTGATGCAAGTGCTGCAGTGAGGACTGTTGCAGTTGCTTCCTTCGAGTCACATCAGAAAATGTATTGACATGTTTTCTTAATAACCAAGCAGATAATGCATATGCACTTAAATGGATAATAAGTACCTGCATTTGTAAACTCAACCATGCTTTTTCTATTCTGGAAGCCAGAGCTTCAGCACTGATATAGCCCTCTGGACAAATCAATTGCAAAGAAGACAAACAAATGATCTTAGGAAATATAAACACATGCAGACACATATAAAACAATCCATCTGTTGATGAATACCATACCATGCTGCCATAGCTGTAAACCATTGTATCCAACAACTGTTATGCAAGGAAATGATTTCTGTGGATCTGTCCCACTTCATGTAAGGAAATTATGAATTTCATTGAGATAGAAAGGGTAGCAACATAGACTATGAAAGACAACGGATCACCACCAATAGCATTTTACAAAGGTAAAGCTGGTATGGACCACCACCATAGCAGTTATACAATGTAATGAACCAATAATGGGGAAAATTACTTTACTATTCAAAGTTATGATAAAGTCCCCCAAGAATATCAAACAAATCATGGATCCACTCACCAACATGCTTCATTGTGTAGTCAGTAAGTTTGAATTGCATGTGCCAAGATAAATTTTGTGCCTTTTATCATGTTTGAGATGTTGCAAGTCAAGTCTAAGCATACCAAGGTCTGGGAAGGAGTAAACATTCTAGCCCCTCCCCCTTCCAACAAAAAATTAAATAAAAAAAATATATAAAAAGAGACTGAAAAATACCTTATTCATAAAATTTGGGAAACAGAATGACAGTTTGGGGCATAATTTGTATTTTAACAGCTCTACACTGGTGATGGAGTGGTTGCAAAGAGTGAAGGCAGCTCTATAGCAGTATAGAAATGAGCTAAAAAAAGTTTCTATGGCTATCTAGATAGATGGAATTTAGATTTCAATATCAAAGGATTGCTAATAGTATGGCTGATGAACTAGCCAAGCAAGGGGTGGGGAGGGAGAAAATCTTTTGGGCACAAATGTTGTTAGATAGTGTATGCCCTCAACTCTAATCAGAGTGATATAATCTGATATTTATTATTGAATGAAATTAGAACATTGTTATTTCATGTGTATTTTGGTATGCTTCTGTGTATTACTCCTTATGTTGGACATTTATGAAACTTATGTTAGCTTAAAATGTTCTCAGCCATTTGATAAATTTGGGGAGTTTATCATACAAAGGCTAACACTATTGTATTGCCAAATTGGTGGAGCAATCTGCCTCAACTGCTAGGGTTAGACCTAAGGTGCAAGAGTGGGTGTTTAGTGAAACACTAAATAGGGAATATTCAGTTATGCTTTGACATTGGAGACAAATGGTAAAACCGGAAAGTTGTACTTGACCCCTAACTTGATAGTGATACATAACTAAGTGTTGCACTGATTTGCTTTTGATGTACCAACCAGTGAGATCCACTTAGGGTCAAATACCTGGGTATGTTGAATCAATTTGGAATAACACTTGAGTGGGTGATCATTGTGACAAAATCAACCACTTTGTTAGACAGAGAATATCTTAGTTTACACTCTCTCTCTCTAATAGAAACCTAAAACTGCTAACAGTAGGGTTTCAACTTGTTTTGGGATCAGTTGCAAAATGTATTTATATCTATAAATAGTTTATTTTATAAAAGGGTCTGCATAAGGTTTTATAAGGTTATCAGAACAAAGGTCATACCTGATAAAGGAAAGGAAGGATGGAAGGATGACATTAATGGCTTTCCAAGGAGACACCCCAAAATTTGTCCTTTTCCATAGGTAATCTCTAAAGCCCTCATTCCTTTTAAGTTACCTTGTCTAATCCACCAAACTTCTTGCTTCTACTCACCACTTCCCAACTAACTATATGGTCTTTTTTCTCCTCCCTTGGCTCCCACAAAAAATCCCTCATCAACTTTTCTAATTTCCTACTCACACTCACCAACATCTTAAACACAGACATAAAGTACACCAACAAATTGGGCCAAGTTAGCTCATATCAATGCGATCCTTCCTCCTAAGGACAGATAGCTTTTCTTCCAAGATGTGAGTCTTTGGACAAATCTTTCAACTCCAGGATCCCAAAAGTTACTCTTTTTCGAATTGTCTCCTAAAGGAAGTCCTAGAGCCTAGATACTTCAATGGACATTGAGTCACTTAATATAAAATCCATCATCATCATTATCAGGCCTTATCCCAACTATACGAGGTTGGCTACATGAATCTTATTTTGCTGGTCCATTCTGTTTAATGCCATATCCATTATTGGATTAATATTAAAAGTGGAGGATACAAATTGCAGAAAAGTGCAATGCATCAGGACTTCCTTGTAAGATGTGCAAGAAAATACAGAACTTGGATATTGATTCTCCCACCTGCATGCATCAAAAGAGACATTACCTAAAAAAGGAGTTTGAGAAAGGAAACTATTAACAATTTTAATCACATATAAATGAACAGGAACAAAAGACTAAACTGACATTCAAGTCCATCCATGTAGTTTGTTCAAGAAGTTTTGAATCATCATCTTCCCCTGAAATGCAAAAGACCAAACATGAAATAAACAAGTTAACACTAAACCCTTCTCAGATGAAAAAGCACATGAATGAAAAATTGAAATCATTCTTGAATCTTCTTTGTTTCTTTTTGTGTTTTCCATGAATAGCAGAGCATTTAGATTTTGAGAAAGCAATAGAATATGGTAATGGTGTCATTAAGATCAAATCCAACACAAAGTCACAAACCTATTGCTAAAGATAAGATGGATGCATTGACAAAGAATCAGATACAAGATGTTATTCAAAAGAATTGTCTAAGCCTGAGTAGAGAGTAATCTTTATGAATGCATTGATAAAGAATCAGACACAAAATGTTGTACATTTGCCAAAAGGGAAAGAACCAATGTGATTTAAGTGGGTTCTTTTTCATTTTTTTTCTTTTGAAAAAGGTACAATGTACGTTTTGTAGCAAAAAGCTACACTAGAACATATAGAATTGATTACTTGGAGACCTTGCACTTTCAATTTCTGTTCTACTCACTTGCAGCTTCTTAATCTTGACAATCATACTGGCTTGATGTTAAAAATGCATCCTTGAATGTTGACTTGAATAAAGAGGTGTATGCCTCTCACACCAAGATTATATGGCATCACTGATGCAAGGAAAGCTTTCAACCATTCATTGTTTATAAAATAATGAAGGTTCACTACCAACTCTCATTGTGCATGTTGATGATGTAGTACTCACCAAGAAACACATCTCAAAGATAGAAAGGCTAACACGTCCACCAATCTAAATCATAGGTTGTCCTCTTCAACTGAGAAACCACTTGAAAACAAAGGGATGTTTCAACATTTGGTTGGCAGGCTATTATACTTATACATGACTCAACTTGAATTTCTTATGTTGTGAGCATGATGAATCAATTCACGCATGCTCTTACTGATACATATTTTCTAGCCATGGGCAAAAGAGGATAGAAGCATCCGTAACTTTTATGTCCATCCCCTCATGCGTGCACTCTTTGCTTGATTGGAAAAAACACTAACCATATTCTAACTTGTCAATATGCTACAAAGTCCATCCAATGTCATGAACTTCACCACAAGCTTAACTGCATGTCACACTAGAAGACAAAAAATATTAAGGTATTGTACAAGGGTTGCAGTATCATGGGGATTATGACGGGGAGAAGAATGTGATAATCTCTAAAAGACAAAAAGGCCAGGGTTGGTTCATTGATAGATCTTACAATGGGAAGAATAGCACAATGGGCTTTGGTGTGGGATGACTTTAAGGGAGTTGCACTAAATGAAAAATTAAGAAGATGGCAAAATGTAGTGGGATATCAAATTAGGAACCAACAAAGAAGTGTAGAATTGGAGACACCTGATATGGGAAGGTTGAAGGGTAGGAGTAATTAAGAGACCACTCTTAGCGATGTTATTCTCATCTTTTCAGATCCAATTGAGCAAGGCAAATCCTTAAAGGTGGAGCTGCTAGTGTTAATACAAGGTCCAAGGTTGATTACCATAAATTGCTTGACTGACTGAACACTGTTCCCCATAATAATGAAAACTGCACTGGACCCAAAAAGATAAATAAATAAATAAGCAATTTACTATCTACTGAACCTATGACTATGAAACTTCAAACTTAACAACAATTAGACAAAATCCTACTGACCAGACACACTACCACAAAATGAAAGGACAAAAGTACTCTTGCAGTCCTAATTAGCCCGACTTCCAAGACTTGTCATGATGTCATCCTGCCATATCAAAATTTTCTAATTGGTTTGCTTCCTTTTCCTTCTAGAATAGGTCTCCAAAAGCAAAAGGCCCACCTGAATGATCCCTGTCAAATAAATCTTATATGCAATGCATTTCCCTATATCCTTTGTTATCATTATTTAGTAAAGTCAAAACTGAAACAAACCAAATAATTCACTGCATCAACAAGTTAGATTCCAGATTCATCACTTAACAAGTAAACAACCAAGTAAAAGAAAGCTTGTGAGATATACAAAATTTACAAAAAGAAAAAGAAAAAAAAAAACACTCATAGTCTTAATCAAGTTTGACTCCCCAAGGTTATGTTCAGAAACATTAGAAGTTTGTATTTGTTTTGCAACAGAATAACATGCAGTAAAATTCCAAGCAAACAAAGACTGTAAAACAATTTTAATTCACCTGAAGTATAGACCACGAAAAGTTTCTTCTGCCTTTTTGCTTCAATAATTGCTTCAGAAATTGAGCCCTTAAAAGTTAGCACAGAGATTGATCGTTCCATCTGTCTCATAGAAAGATCAAGGCAGAAAACACCATGAGGTCATGCTTCACAAATTTCAATATGCCTGGGCATTTCGCCATGTAGAAATGGAGAAATTCCGGAGATATTTCACCAGTTCACTAAGATATTTAGAAAATCTGAAAAAAATCAGAAAAGATTTCTAGAGACATGGAATTAATTATTAAACCTTCAAAGAATCATTAGAATAAATATAATTGCACATTTACAGCTCAAAAAACCATAACAAAGAACTGTATAAATTAAATAGGAGAAAATTGAGAGACATTACTGGTATCTTTCTCTCTGTCTCCCTTTTATCCTTTTAGCCATTTTCTCTTCATTAAATATGTCAATTACTTCCTTTAGGGGATAATCCTAGAAAAAGGAGTTTTTGGAATGCGGTGATTGACAGGTTCACTAAAAGGCTAGCTTCTTGGAAGAAGAATTACTTGTCTTTGGGGGGTAGGATAACCCTGATTAAGCCAACATTGGCAAACATTCCAGTCTATTACTTGTCGGTGTTCAGAATCCCTGAAGGAGTTTGTAGGGAGTTGGAAAAACTAATGAGGGACTTTTTATGGGAACCCGGGGAGGAGAAAATGAACCATAGAGTTAGGTGGGAGCTAGTTACAAGAGCTAAAAGTGAAGGGGGACTGGGGCTGGGGAACTTGAAGAAAAAGAATGAAGCTCTGTTAGGGAAATGGTTATGGAGATGGTCCAAAGAAAAGGAGAATCTGTGGGCTAAAATAATCCTAAGTATTCATGGGCAAGAGGCAGCTGGCTAGGATCCGGGACTATCATCTAGGGCTTCAAGAGCCTCTCCTTGGAAGTCCATTCATGCCATCCTTCAGTCTTTTCTTCCCTTCATCAGGTATGATATTGGTTCTGGTTTGTTGGTAAATTTTTGGGAACACACTTGGGTGGGAGATTTTCCTTTGAAAGAGCAATTGCCCTCCTTGTATGCTCTGTCTAGGTTTAAAAATGAACCAGTAGCAACCTTTGCTACCCTATCTAGTTTTGCTATTGGTTGGAACTTGGGTCTTAGAAGGGTTCTCAGAGATTCTGATTTGAAACCCATTTCGAATTTGCTTAAAATCTTGGATGAGGTAGCTCTTGAACCTTCCAGTGTGGACTCTAGGGTTTGCTCTCTTGTCCCTTTAGGTATCTTCTCCTGCTCCTCTTTTTTCAAAGCATTGACACAACCTAGTCCGGTACCTGGGTCTTCTTTTCCAATCTGGGAAGTTTGGGGTAGCCCTATCCCTCCTAGGGTAGGTGCTTTTTTGCTGGGAAGCAATCCTAGAAAAGTGTAACACTTGTGACATACTTCAAAAGAAAAGGCCTAATTGGTGTTTATCTCCGCATTGGTGCATCTTATGTAAGAAGAATGGTAAAAGCTGTTATCACTTGCTTGTTTCTTGCCCTTTTGTTTCAGAGGTTTGGTGTTGGTTCTTTTCTTTATTTGGTTGCAAGTGGCCCTCCCCTTCAAGCATGCAAAGCTTGTTCAGTTCCACTCCAGTGAGGGGTTTAAATAAGAGAGGTAAAATTTTGTGGATATGTGCTCGAGCTGCTATTTATTGGACGGTCTGGGAAGAAAGAAATCAAAGATTATTTCATGACAAAGAAAAAAGCAAGGAAGCCCTCATAGAAATTGTTTATGTTAGGGTGGCACACTGGGTCAAGTCTTTGAAGCTTTTTGAAGCCTATTCAGTAGGAGACATCATTAGAAACTGGGAAGAAGTGGTTCGGTCAGCTCCTATGTCTAGTGCTATTAGACCTGTTTAGACTCCACCAGATTTGGGTTTCATCAAATTGAACTTCGATGGTAGCAGTGAAGGTAATCAAGGCCCTTCAGGCATAGGCGGTATTTTTAGGGATGAAGAAGGTCGAATTATTGCTATGTTCTCAGGATCTATAGGCTGGGGGAATTCTCTGAGAGCTGAAATCCAGGCAGTTCTAGAAGGAGTAAAAAGAGCTAAGTAGTTGAATATTAGTAAGCTGCCGGTGGAAGGGGACTCTCAACTGATCTCGAATAAAATGGTAATCAACCTCAATGTGCTTTATACGTTCATGGAACACAGTATTTAAGGCAATCTTGATTGCACCAAGATTATCAGCATTGATAGGAACTGAATGAGAGGTTTGAATATGTAAGTTCTAAAGAAGAGCTTTCAACCATATAATCTCACTACAACCAAATGACATAGCATAATACTCAGCTTCAGTAAATAGATGACAAAGTACCACGAATGTATCTAATAATCTGAAGGACAACGAACATATGTGGTTGTCTAGGAGATGAGACAAATTAGCTAACCACTTGGACAACATAGGCAATATTAGGGTGAGTCATGGTAAGATAAATAAGATTACTCACATGCTCTCGATATAATGTAGCATTTGTAAGAGGTTCACTACCATCTTTAAAGAGCTTCAAATTGATCTGAAGATGTGTATCAACCTACTTATCTTCTGTAAGATGAGCCAATGTGACTAAATTCGTAACATACTTCTACTGGTTGACAAAATAGCCCCAAGAAGAACAAGTTACCTCCTGTGATTTAAAAGGCGTGCCCAGGTGCACAGGCGAGGCATATTTTAGGGTATGTGCCTTGCCTAGGTCCTAGGTGCAGCCCTTTCAAAAGGCACACACCTGGTGCGCCTAATGCACCTCAGCCCAAGCGTGCGCCTTTTGAAATGTTGTTCATTCATTCATCCTAATAAAATATCTTCTTAAAAGGCAATTAAAATTATAAAATCATTATTTTTTGTGTGAAAACTAAGAATCTAAGACCCTAACATGGACTTGTTTGGGCTTGCCTCGAGGGGTGTGGCACAAAGGCAGCTTGTAGAATCAAGAATGTAATATGTTTTACATCACATTAGCTACTTTAAGTAATGCAATTGAGGAAAAAAAGAGATTGTGGGTTTAACATGCTTGAAAATGTTTTATATGTTTGATTTTATATTTAAATTTTCATTTGAATACGCTTTACATGTTATGGTTATGTATTTTAATTTTAGATAATAGGTTTTTTAAAACATTTATTTTAAAATTTAAGTTTAGATTTTTTATTAATATTATGTTTAATATATTTTTGACATTTTTTGAAAATTTTTGCATTTTTTTGACATTTTTTATTTTTTAGCATTTTTTTGTATGTTTGCGCCTTGCTTCAAAAAGGCAAGCACCTCGCCTTGTGTCTTGCACTTTTAAAACACTGGTTACCTCCAAGCACAATAGGTAAGATGACCATGATCCTCCATCTTGAAGGTCTTACTGAGAAGACCCTTCACATGAGTAATACCCTCTGTGGCAGATTGTTTAGGATGTTTCATCTCTTCTTGGCCATTGCAATACTTAGGTCTCCCTCTAGGGGCTAACCCAAAAGAGAGTAGTTTTTGGACCCTAGTTTTGGAAAAGTTTGAGAAAATATTAACTTCTTGGAAAAAGAACTACATCTCTATAGGGGGTAGAGTGACTTTATTGAGAGCTACCCTAACAAACCTACCGGTCTATTTTCTCTCCGTTTTCAGAATTCCTAATAGGGAAGCTAAGAAGTTGGAGAGATTAATGAGAAATTTCCTTTGGGAGCCAGGGGAGGAAAAGAAAAACCGCCTAATCAACTGGGAAATAGTTTGTAGGAGTAAAGAGGAAGGTGGCTTGGGATTAGGAAGGTTAACTCTCAAGAATAAAGCTCTCTCAGGAAAATGGTTGTGGAGATGGCCTAGAGAAAGGGAGAGGTTGTAGCATGAAGTGATAGCTAGTATACATGGTAGACTGAAAAATGGATGGGATGCGGGCGTATTACGTCAAGCTACGTTGGCATCTCCTTGGAAAGCAATCCAAAGTATCCTCCCTCAGTTTCTCAACTTTGCCAGGTATGATGTCAATTCCGGTATCTCTGTTTTATTTTGGGAAGACACTTGGGTGGGTACCGTTGCCCTTAAGGACCAATTCCCATCTCTCTATTCTATTTCCCTTTACAAGGAAAAAGCTATCTCTCATTTTCTCCCATCTCCTAATTCACCCCCCTCCTTAAGTTGGGACTTTGGCTTTCAGAGAGGTTTGAGGGTTGATGAACTTAATAGTGTTTCAGATCTGTTATCCCTTCTTGGCAGTGTCTTTCTGGACCCTCTTAGTTTGGATGTGAGATTATGGTCCCCTCACCCAAAAGGCTACTTCACTTGTGCTTCCTTTTTTAAATCCCTTTGCTCTTCCCAGGGACAGTGGGGTTTTCCAACCAAGGAGATATGGCCTAGACCATCAATTGTAAGCTTTATGATGTAGTTAGGAGGCTGCACCTCGTGCCTCTTAGTGGGGAATTGTATGATGTATACTTAGTTCTTTAATCAATAATATTATCATTTCCATTATCTATCAAAAAAAAAGATATGGCCTAGACCGGTTCCACCTAAAGCTATTATTTTTCTGTTGGGAGGTGTTTTATAGAAAGATTAATACCTTGGACTTCTTGCAAAAGAAAAGGCAGGCCTTCTTTGTGTTTGTCCCCTAACTGGTGTGTACTTTGCAGGGCTAGTGGTGAGGATTGCTCTCACTTACTTGTATCTTGTTCCTTTTCTAGTGCTATTTGGAGTTGGATTTTCTCTTTGTTTGGGTGCAGGTGGAAGTTGTCCACAGATTTAAGTCAACTGTTCAATCCTTCCTTTTTTGTGTGGCCTACAAAAAAAGGAAAAATGATGTGGTGATGTATTAGAGCAGTCGCCTTGTGGACAATCTGGGAAAAAAGGAATGCAAAGGTATTCAAGGACAAGGAAAGAAGCATTCGGGCTGTTTTTTTTACGAATAGAAGCATTCAAGCTGTCGAGGACTATATCTTGACTAGGGCCATTCATTGGTTAAGAACTATGGACTTATTTCATACATTCTCCTTTGATGATATTTGGAGAAACTGGATAGCGGTGGCTAACAGTCATACAAGGAAGAACAGGGAATCTTCAGTGTGGGAGCCTCCGTCTAAAGGATGGGCAAAGCTGAACTTTGATGGAAGCAGCCAAGGGAACCCAGGCCCATTGGGGATAGGACGGGTGCTGAGAGATAAGGAGAGCAACATATTAGCATTGCTTTCAGGCCCTGTGGGAATAGGAGACTCCAATAGAGCTGAGATGTTAGCGGCGGTACAAGGTATTCAGATTGCAGAACAATTAGGAGTTCAGCACTTGGTAGTTGAAGGGGACTCTAAGATTGTTGTGGGATGGCTGACAGACCCAGCTTCAGCTATGTGGCGACACAGAGACCTGTTAAGGAAAGTCAACTGGCTCACAAGAAACATGACTGTTACCTCTCTTTGGGTGAGAAGATCAGCAAATACCATAGCGGATGGGTTAGCTAAGCAAGTGGCTTCAAGGGAACATTTATTTTGGGCTGCTCTGTAATTTTATTTCTGACTATTTGTGTTTTTAATTTGATGTAATACTTGCTAGAAGAGGTAACAACTCGTGCCTCGTCTTGGGTCTCCTGTATTGCCTCATATTCCTTTTTTTTTTTTGATGAATGTATTGCCTCATATTTCTGGTTTAATAAATTATATTCATTCATCAAAAAAAAAAAAAAAACAAGATCATCTCTAGTAATAAGGATGCCATCCATGTAAAAGCAAAAGAGTAATACGCTATGGCCGAGTGAGAATAAAGAGTGAATAATCTAAAGGACTTTAAAGCCAGCATCTGTAATAACAAAACAAGCAAAAGAGTAATACTCCCATGTTCCATAATACTACTGCTCCTGTGCACCTGCATAAAATCTCTCTCTTAATGGTTGGTGAGCCCAAGAAATTAGGTAACAAGTAATAACAGCTCAGATATGTCTGAAAATAGGGTTAAAGTTTTCCAAATAAATGTAGGGAATGCTTCCACATGTCCTAAGTAGAGGGGAAGATAAGAAGGGATTGTTAGCAATTTAGCATCTTAAACACTCTTCTTGCGTATGATGCACATTTTAGCTGAAAAACACCTCCTCTTCCTCCTATGCCACATCACCACACAATTCCTGGGTGCCATGATCCTTCTCTTTGGAACAATCAAGGGCACTGGCTGCATCAACCATCACTAAGTGAGTTATTTTATTGTCACCAATAGTGCTTCACTCGGCAGCACACTAAGTGAGCCATTTTATTGCCCCCAATAGTGCTTCACTTGCATGCAAGGCAGCACACCAGCACCACATAGATCTATCACATCGGGGCAAAGAAGATACATTTCGAGTACCGGTGGTACTGGACAAGCTCTAAGGGAATAATCTCTTTCTTATTTGTACATTTATTTAACATGATGACTAGGAATGAGAAAATCAAAATTTTCTATTCAAATTCCAGACCTCAACGTCCTGATGCTCATGCTGTTTCATGATTAGTATGGAAATGAACAAAGTGCCATTGACAACTTCAAGAGCTACCTCCCAAGAAAAGGCTCTGATATTAGATGTAGGATCTAACTGCCCTAACAAAAATGATCAATTAAATGTAATTAAACTAAAACTCTTTCTCTTTTTTCTTTCTTCATGGATAACTGGACTTCACCTTGCTCTATGAGTTGGAACTCAGGAATTAAAGTAAAACCTCACCTTGAACTCGTTCTAACCAAAAGGGTTTTCAGCTAAATCCTATTCAATCTCTCGAAGTCAACTTCTCCAAGTGAAACCAAAGAATATATGATTAGGATGGAAGCGATAGTTGACTGTAATTGAAATAGAACTCTTAACTTCAGTCTCAACTAAATCCTTTCAATCTCCCAAATTCAACTTCTCTGAGTTAAACCAAAAAATATACGATTAGGATGAAAATGATAGTTCAATGTAATTGAAGTAAAACTATTCCTTTTTCGATGTAATTCAACCATTTTTCTTTTCGTTTTTTCCTTCCGTATCTTTTCCGTGATGGCTAAGATGAATAAACAATCGCTATAAGTCGGAAATTAAGAATTTCAATCTGGCAAGATCAAATTCTTTGCACGGATGGTAGAATCTACATTCAAGGATGAAACTGACAGCATAGAATAAACAACTGAAGGATTTTGTTCGTCTAAGTTTCAGCCAAAAAGCCTTGATTCATGGTTAAAATCCCCTGATTAATTTGTTCAGAAATTTCCAGTTCAATAAATAAAAATCAAAATTTATAAACCTAAATTTCCTAAAACTGAAAGCGACCTGACAGAATCAACTTTTCTTTTGAATTATCAAACAAAAATAATCAAAGTAAAAATGAAAATTCACACCTTCGAAGAACTAGGGTTTCCTTGGAGAAGCCCTTCTCTCTCAAACAAAGCAAAGTTCTTGGAATATTGTAATATTCTTTCTGGAGACGACTCTGGAGTAGTACTGTTGCTCTGGTCTCGTCGAAAAGGGAAGCTTGCCAATTTGTATAGTCGTATTCTTGTGAACTTAAATGAGAAGCCCGATATCCTTCGTTTCAGGAAAGATCCTTAACAAACGAATCCAGATTGGTGTCATCAACTCCTCACAAAATTTGCCCTCGCACCGAATCGTGATTTCTGGCAAATCGCACCTCGCACCGACCTCACAGTCTTATCCCACTTTGTATTAGTAACATTTCCTTATGAGTAACGAGATCAGATCTGCTCCTCACACCGACCTCACTCACATCTTATCGTACATTGGGAACATCTCCCGTATTTATAAATTATTATTCAGGGGAGATGTTCCTAATGCACGGTGGATGTGCCTATGAGGCGTCTATGTGTGAGGAACTGATCCCGTTCCATGAGTAACAGCATAAAATACAGATGACATTTTCGATGTGCGGCTGGGAGACATTGTGAGGAGCAAATCCTGACTCCTTACAACAGTTGCAGCCGTGCATTTGGAATATCTCCCATGAATGTACGGAGATGTTTCCAATATAATTACTGAAGTATTGAAGATGTTTCCAATATATAGTTGGATGTGCCTGTGAGGAGTGCTGTGTGAGATATATAATGTTTGGTTCAATGGGCATTTATTTGCATTTTTTCACTTTAAACAATTATTTATACTTTTTCACTTTAAACGATTATTAATACTTTTTTACTTTAAACGTTTCATTTTTTGTTGTTTGGTTGAACTTCATTTTAAACGTTTCTTTTTCTTTTATACCTCAGATTAATACCCATTAAAAGTGTGATACATCAGTATTTGGTTTCAAGAAATGTTGGGGCATTGGGAGAAACAAGAATTTGACATTTCCCCAAATGCCCCATGCACAAAAATCAAAGCATTTCAGTTTTTTATCATTTATTTGATAAATGGTGAAACCAAACAATTGTTTCATTTTGCTTCATTTGTAATAAACGCCAAATAGGAATGGCAATGAGGCGGGGCAGGGATGGGGAGCCTCTCCCCATCCCCGTTCCTGCAAAAATCCCCATCTCCATCTCTGTCCCTGTCCATGCTAATGGGGACAAGGTTATCCCCATCCTCGTCCCCACGGGGATCCCCATTCTTCATGATCTTTTATAATGTTAACTATTTTTGTTTTTGTTTTTTATTTTATTTAAAGAATAAAAATAAATTAATTAAAATTTAAAACCCTATTAGAAAATATTCAACCATATTTTTAAAAATATTAATACATAGATGTATGTATATATATATAGATACATATATACATATATATTAGTGGGGATCCCACGGGGCGGGGAGTGCTCTCCCCATCCCTGCTAACGAGGATGAAAATTTCCCCATCCCCGTCCCCACAAGGGGAAAATCATCCCCATCTCTGCCCCATTCAGGACGGATCCCCATAGGAATCGGGAAAAATGGGGAAAATTACCATCCCTAACGCCAACGCCTATGTATTGCTAATGTGGCAGCGTTTTTTCAACAAACGCCAACATAACCAAATATCCCCATAGTGTACATGTATATCTACTATAGATATATGTATATAGTATAGAAGTATACTATATATGTATTTGGTATAGATATAACTAGTATATAGTACTATAGTTACACACATATAGATGGCATGAATATATATGCCATATATACTACACCATAGATATAGTGTATAACTGGATATATACAAAGTATAAATATAATATATATGAATGTATATAACATATAGAGAGAGAGAGAGATAGAGAAAGAATAAATATATAGTGTATGTACTTACATGTATACATATATGGTGTAAAATATATAATAAATAATATATATATATAGATAGATATGTATGGTGCATGTATTTATATATTTTTGCTAAAAAAAAAGAAAATCAATCGACAAAATGGAGGAAATACACGAGGAAGCACTATAAGACTAGTCTCCAAATTTATTTGACAACAAACACCACTTAACAAATTTATCAGCTACAATATTAAAATTTCTAGGAATGTAAGCCAAAGTGATAAAGCCAATAAGACTAGTCTCCAAATTTATTTGACAACAAACACCACTTAACAAATTTATCGGCTACAATATTAAAATTTCTAGGAATGTAAGCCAAAGTGATAAAGCCATGACTAGCAACAAGAAGCTTGGCATCCACCAACAAATGACTCCACCTCCAAGGCACCTCATGCTCATTGCCATTATTGATGTGTGGAATCACAACATAGTAATCACCTTTAATAATAATAACCGGACAACCATAATAGAAATTGGTTGATTCAATTGCTAACATTAAAGCATCGATTTTCTTTGCCTGTATCAAAAGCTACACATGCAGCCGCTTCTCGTTCATGTTTAAATGCACCATCAAAAAATATTGTGATGTGAAACCGCCATATCAAAATGAGGAACATCGTGTACATTAACCTTCCGAGGTTCCACATTATTTATAGCCACTCTCAACTCCATTACAGTCTTTTGAATTCACCACACTACATCAAGGCCTTGCGTCTTTCGGTAAGTTATTTATCCATGTTCTTTTTATTTTCTATGTGAATAAGGTTATGATTATTTTACCCATACAAATTCATTATTAAAATGGGCATTTTTGTCCCATTCATGGGTCTGGAATCGGAATCAGAATGGGCTATTCCGATTCCAGTTGTTTGGTTGGGTGGAATTGGAATCCCATTCCTATTCCTGTTGGAATGGCATTCTCCCATTTGAGGGAATGGCCATTCCCTATCCCTCCCTTGGAAATGAAATCTCATTCCTACGGATTTTAATTCCCATTTTCATTCCTATCTGAACCAAACAGACTATGGGAATGGACCATTCCGATTCCGATTCTGGAGGATTTTGATTCCGATTCTAACTGCGGACCAAACGGACCCTGAATTTGTAACCTCTGATCAGTTGTACCATGATAATTGGCTTTCCTGAATCGCCATATTGAGGCACCAATCACTTCATATATATATTTGTATATATACCTACTAGTAAAAATGTACGCGTTGCACGTGGCAATATCAAATGATGATGATTATAATAGTTAGCAACCAAATGACCTTATTGCTGGTTGAACGATTAACCTATTTAACCAGGAAAATGGACTATGATTAAGACATTAATTTATTTTTTTTCTTTGTATTTTAGTCATTTATATATTTAATAACAATAATTCTTTTTTCTCAAACACATTTTTGTTTAATATGAAGAATATATAATATTAATGCATGTTCAAAAATTTTTATAAAATTTATAAAAAAATCTATATTTTTATTTTTTATTATCTAATTTATGAGATAATAAAAATTAATTATTTACCAAGAGGAAATGCAATTCCAATATATTGTTTGAATATTGGTTTTTAATATTGCATTTTTATAAACTTCTTATATGATGAAAATAGTTTAAAAATACTTATATTATTTTTTTTGTTTGTTTCAATTATTAAAATTTATTTTCCTTTTAATAATTCATTATTTTTTAATTAAATCGGTCGTATCAGATTCGGATATCCAACATATTGATCGGATTCAAATTTAAATCAATATTTATGAGACCCAATAAGATCTTCGGATCAAATCGAATTCAAATCCGATCCGATCTTTTTGCATCCCTACCAAACCACTTGCCTACAATGACCTAGCTAATTAAATCATTAAACCATTTAACATGGTTAGTGGGGTAATGTGTTAGACATTAATGCTACTTATTTTTTATCATAATTTTTGTCCCATTTCTATCATTAATGAAAATAATTCTCATTAATCACACTTTTTTTATATGATGAATATAAAATATTATAGAATATACCCAAAATTATCTACATATTTCTACATTTTCTAGAATTTTATATATTTTATTATTAGTAATAACATCATGTGTTGATCCATTTGGCATAGATAGTTGAACCACTAACCCACCACTTGGATGGAAAAACCATTTTTTCTTTTTCGGTTGATTTTAAATCATGTATTATATTTTCATCATCAGTAAAAGTAATTCTTATTTTCGCTTTTATTTTTGCACGTGGCAGTACCAAATGATGATGATGATGATGATAATAAGTAACCAAAGGACCTTACTGGTTAAACCATTAACCTGAATAACCAAGACAATGGACTATGATTAAGACATTAATTCATTTTTTTCTTTGTATTTTATCCATTTCTATCTTTGCTGACAATAATTCTCAATTTTTCAAACATATTTTTGTTTAATATGAAGAATATATAATATTAGTGTATGTTCAAATTTTTTATAAAATTTATAAAAAATTCTATATTTTTATTTTTTATTATTTATTTTATGAGATAATAAAAATTACTTATTTACTAAGAGGAAATGCAATTCCAATGTATTGTTTGAACATTGGTTTTTAATATTGGGGTCAAATCAATTATTTATATATAATATATATGTTATTTTATTATTTATTTATAAATATGTTATTTATATTACATTTTTGTAAACTTTTTATATGATGGAAATAGTTGAAAAAATTCTTATATATTTTTTTGTTTTTTTATTTCAACTGTTATATTTTTATTTTTCTTTTAATACTTTATTACTTATTTTAACAATTAAATTGGATCATATCATATTCGAATATTTGACATCTTGATTGGATTCTAATTCGAATCAATATATGAGATTTGGTCGAATCTTTGGATCAAATCAGATTTGAATATACCCTAATTCAAATATAATCTAATTTGTTGGCATCTATACCAAACCACTTGCCTACGATGACCTAACTAATTAAGTTATTGAACCATTTGACATGGTTAGTCGGGTCATGTGTTAGACATTAATGCTTTTTTATTTTTTATCCTAATTTTTATCCCATTTTTATCATTAATGAAAATAATTCTCATTAATCACTGTTTTTTATATGATGAATATATAATATTATAGAATATATCAAAATTATCGACAAATTTCTATATTTTCTAGAATTTTATGTATTTTATTATTTAATAATAGCATCCATTTGGCATGCATAGTTTAACCACTAACCCATCACTTGGATGAAAAAACCATTTTGCTTTTTTGGTTGATTTTAAATCATGTATTCCATCTCCATCATCAATAAAAGTAATTCTTACTTTCACATTCATTTTTGTTTAATATGGTGAATATATAACAATAGATTTGTATCAAAATGCT